GTCACACAGCTAGTGTTATGCATCTGAGGCCCGATTTGAACTCAGGTCCTCCTGACTCCAAGGCCAGTGCTCTATCCACTGCACCACCTAGCTGCCCCAACTCTAGTTCTTTTTGATATCTTGTGATGGGGGAAGAGTTCCTTCCCCTTCCCTTTACCCAACAGCTATTGTAGCTTCTCACATATGGCCTTCATCTGCCTCTTCTACTTTACATTTCTTTCTTTGAGGATAGGTGACTGGATAGTGATCATGAAAAGTAGGCTTTTGGGGCAGTGTTTACCTTGGGAATTTGTGAGTTCCTGAGCTCCTCAGCTGGAACTTCCTGGCAGCTGGAGGAGTTTTCTGAAACTATGCTCTTGGAGAAGAGCACTTAGAGTATGAGTTCAAGGTAGGCCCTTACTTGCACAAAGACATGGACTTTGAAGGAGTTCTATTGTTTGATTTCCTTTAGTCTCCACTGCTTAGATTCTCTTTGAACCTGGGCCACAGGAGAACGCACAGAGCTGGATGAAGTGACCGAGTCCATGGCCAGGTTTGGGGTTAGCTGATGGCTTCCTTAAAGATCAAGTCACAAGGAAGGATAGATGTCCCCTAAGCCCAGGTAGGGTGAGAGAAGTCAGGGTGAGCACTGCTGTCATATGGAAGAGCCCCTCAGCACTGATTGAATTAGGTATAGAATACAATAGGCAGCTAGGCAGAGCCTTGGATAGAAAGCTAGGCCTGAAATCAGGAAGACCTGAATTCAAATCCAGCCCCAGACACATACTAGCTGTGTGATCCTGGGCAAGTCAATTAACCCTGTTTGCCTTAGTTTCCTCTTCTGTCAAATGAGCTGGAGAAAGAAATGGCAAACCATTCCAGTATCTCTGCCAAGAAAACCCCAAATGAGGTCATGAAGAGTCAGACATGACTGAAATAATTGAATAAGAGGTGTGTGTGTGTAGGGCGAATAAAGGGATCATGATCTGGGAGATGTTTTCATTTGGTTTCTTTTTTGTTTTACTCTATCATGGCCTCAGGGAATCTTGGCTAGCTTCTTCAAAAGCTGGACAGATTTACAGTTCTGGTTTGGGAACTTGGACTCTAACTTTTGGGGGTGGGGTGGGGAGTGGGGAGACATGGGATGTGCCTACTTTACCACTTGTTAACATCTATCACTTAATAAGGGTCAGCTAGGTGGTATAATGGATAGAATGTTGAACTTGGGGAGAGAAAGATCTGAGTTTGAATCTTGCCTTAGATACTTACTTGCCTCTCCTGGGCAAGCTATTTTACCTCTGCCTCAGCTTACTCATCCGTGAAATGTTTAATAACAGCACCTACCTTCCCAGGGGTGATACATACATACATACATACATATGTACATACATATATACATACATATATATTTATAAACCTTTATGTCAGGGGTTCTTAGCCTGGAGTCTATGAACTTGCTTTAAAAATATTTCATTGCTGTATTTCAATATAATTGGTTCCCTTTGCAATCTTATGTATTTCATGCATTTAAAAACCTTATTCTGAGAAGGTGTCCATTGACAGCGCCAGACTGCCATAGGAGTCCATAATACACAAAACAAGTTGAGAAGCCCTGCCTTAAAGGGTTGCTGTGGGTAAGTCATTCTTTTGACCTTAGCTTTTTCATCTGTAAAAATGGCAATAATAACGTTTGCATGTTCTACTTCATAGGCTTTAGAGTAGTGAGAGGGAGAAGATACAACCATTTCATTTTGCAGATGAGGAAACTGACGCCTAGAGAGATTATGTATTAAAGCTGGGTGGGATTCAGACAGAGGTTTCTTGACCCCAGCATCAGGGCTTGATCCTACCATATCCTCTGTTCCCAGGGCTGCTGTGAGCAAGTGCTTTGTAATCCTTAAAAGGGGGTAGAAATGTGTGTGTTTTATTTTCCAGGTGGGGAACAGGAACTATAATGTTCTAGCTTTTGAGCTTAGGTAGAAGGGAAAACAGGAGGGCTGTCTTGATGCAAAGCATGGGGAAGGAAGGTGAGTGAATCAGAATGGGAGATGCTAAGTGAGTGAGAAAGGAAGAGGGGGTGGAGGCTGGACTCTTCCGTGGGGACTTTCACTTGTCACTGGGTCACCCCAATCCCACAGTAACTTGGTGGGTGTTTTGGTCTTTAGGCAGCCCCAAGGCAAAGTCAGGACCTTGAGCTCATAAGGCCGTGGGGGGTGCGGATGTGTGTGTGTGGGAAGGAATGAACAGGGCTGGGACGTTTGTTTTCTTTGCAAATGTTTGGAGGCCCAGGCTCATTCTTTGAAGATGAAGCGTGGTGTTTGTGTGGTTTGGGTGACTGCCTTCTTCATGCCTGCTCCAGGCCAGTCTTCCCATTTAGTGATGCCATCTTTTGTGCCATCTGTAACTCGATCTGTAATTCGATTAGTGTGTGTGCATACAAGTGCAAACACAAGCATCCGGGCAAACGCATGTGCGCATGCATTGACAGTCTCACAGAAAGAGGCATGTGTGCCCACATACACAGAGGTATGCATGGTGCCACCCCCACCCCACTTTGCCCCAGCATACGTCAACACATGTACACACATCAGCACATGCACACAGATGCACACGCTGCAGACAGTTTTAATATTTAACGTTGTTACAGCAAAGTCAGTTCCCTAGCAGAGAGGGGCTTTGTGTGCTGGGATCATTCCTTTCCTGGAGTTGCCTTGCAGGCCTGGAGAGCCGCTGACAAATTGTGCTCCCTGGCTCAATCCATCCCCAGAGGAGGGTAATGTAATGTGGTTATGAGATTAGAGAATGAGCCTCATTACCAGACAGGCTTCATTTTAAACAGTCTCGCTTTCCCTTTAGAAAAATAGATGAACAGGACTGTTTCCATAAGCCTCCCAATCTTCCTTCTCCATTTGTCACCTGGCTGTAGTTGTTAACCACTCTCCCTCCCCTTCCCCTTTCCCTTCCCCAGTGTCTCCAGCCCACTTTTCATACATCACTGGGTCTACAAAGGTCCTTCACTCCCCCTCACTCCCCCCCAACCACTGAAATCACAGGTTCTTCCTGCAGAGATGAGGTCTAAGACAATTTTAAGACCAGCAATGAGACATTCCTGTCCCCCCCCCCCCCATTTCCAAGTAGGTTTGCAGAAGCAGAGTCAACAGCTCCCTCTTCCACTCCCCTTCCCCCACCTACAATGGGGTCCTGCTCCACAGAGAAGCTGGGGATCCACGGTGGGTGCTGTTGGCATAAGGCCCATTCCTAGCATTGTCTATGGACTGGTCAGACTTGGGTCAAATACTGAGTAGCTTTCCCCAGGGTACTCCTAACTCTAGGGTGTATAGGGGGGACCCATTCCATAATTCCAAGAAGAAGCTCGAGTCATGAAACTGAGGGTAGAAATAGAATCAATAAACCAAGGAGTCTCTCTAATGACAGTTTGGAATTCTCCCTCTCCCCCATGTACTAAAGTCTCAGGAATAGAGCTAATATTCTTCCTGGTCTGTCCAGAATATTGGACCATTGTGGAGGTTGGAGGATGCTTATTATTTTTTGGGTGGGCAATTGGGGTTAAGTGACTTGCCCAGGGTCACACAGATAGTAAGTGTCAAGTGTTTGGTCTGAGGTGGGATTTGAACTCAGGTCTTCCTGACTCCAGGGCCTGTGCTCTATCTACTGAGCCACCTAGCTGCCCAATGAGGATGCTTATTTTCACGAACAGAATTCCCTAGATGCAGAATTCCCACAAATTCTGGTTACTGTGGGAATCTGGGCATTCCTTAGCAAGTCCCAATTCATTCTGGTGGGTGGATATCTGGAGAGTCCACAGGACAATGCCTAGGTTTCAGAAGAGGGGCATGTTATCTGCCCTACTTCCTCCTTCACACCAAGGCCATACAGATCATTGGTTATGGCAGCTGGTTCCTGACAGTGGGGACTGTCAGCTTGGTAGGGATCATAAACCTGGGTTTCCAAGGGAATGTGAGGAGGGAGTGGGTCTGGGAGGGAATGCCCAGGTGGGGAATGGCTGATTGCAAAACTAGAATCCTTCTCATTCTCAGTTTGCAAAACATCTCCTTTTTTTATTGAAAAAAGCTATTGTTTTCTTAAGAGAAAACATTTATTTGTGTGCATGTGGAAAATGTTTTCCTAATGAAATGGAAGCTGATGCTCAGCCGAGTATGACAAAAATCTTCCTCTGCCCACTTTAAAGACAACAGGGGAATACATCTATGGAATTTGAGTAGAAAGCATTGTTTTCCTGTTTTCCTCCTGCCTGGAGCCAAACAGAGATTGGGGTTCGGTGCATTCCAGCCTGGTTCCACAGGCCAAGGCAGGAAAAAGTGGGTTTGGCTTTGGAAACTCTTCTGACCTGCAGAAGTAATCCCACCCACCCTCTGCCCACTCCTTATGAACACAGAGTCAGGGTTAGGAGAGGGAGACCAGCCCTACTCAAGACTAGTTCAAGTGTAACTGAAAGTTGAGTCTTGGCTGGGGGTGAAGTGAAGGAATCATAGTCCAGAATTGGACCAAATGCAAAAAGTATGGGGGCAGTGGTTGGAGTCAGACACAGTCAAGTTTTACTCCTTTCCCCCCTAAGACAAAGCAGGTTTTGTACTGTCTCTTGTCCAGGTAAAATAGTCTTGTTCTCTGAGGAAATTTGCTTCAGCCCTCAGGGATCCCTGAAGAGTGTTTTTCCTCCAACATCCAAGAGCAGTTTCATTCTGAGATTTTAGCTTTTCACCTCATCTCCCCACAACCCCACCCCTACTAGGCCCTTTCCTAGCCCCAGGCCACTTCCAACTCTCACTTTTAGATCTTGAGGATAACCCAAGCATCCTGAGCTCTGGTGTTAGCTGTCAATACACCTCTTTTCTCCCTTTTGTTAGGGTTGATGTGGTTGGCTCAGGCTGGCTTCTCAGGTGGGTATTTTCTCTGGTTGAAGCACCAAGAAAAACCTCTATAGTGAAGTATGAGAGAGAGAGAGAGAGAGAGAGAGAGAGAGAGAGAGAGAGAGAGAGAGAGAGAGAGAGAGAGAGAGAGAGAGAGAGAGAGAGAGAGAGAGAAAGAGAGACCCTTTTCCAACCCTAGCAGCTTTGAAATTCTTGGTCTTAACTGTCTAAGCAGCTGTAGCCACTTGGGACAAGAGGGCAATGGGGTCCTTGGGGATAGGTTTGAATCGGGGAGATGATTCTCTAAGGGGAGAAGGTGGTGGTGGTCTCTGCCTCCATACTCATGGAGAAGCGTCGATTCTGTCGGCACGAAGACAAGTGCAGAAGGCGCTCTTGGCTAAGGCAGCCGAGGGTCTTGAGAAGCTTGAAGAGATCTTGGCGGAACTTGACACCGATGAAGGCGTAGAGGAAAGGGTTGAGACAGCAGCGCAAGCATGCGAGGCTGTAGGTGATGTCGCTGGCTATGTCCAGTTGCTTGCTGTGTTCACAGTCAGTAGAAGTTTTGTTGAGGGCCGCCACAGTCTTGGCCAGGACCACACCATTATAGGGCAGCTGGAAGACGATGAAGACAATGACCACGGCAATGATGACTTTGATAGCCTTGTTGCGCTCAAAGTTGCGGGCCTGCAGCAGCGTACGGATGATGATGAGGTAGCAAGAGAACATGACCAGCAGTGGGATTAAGAAACCTATCACCATCTGAGACACCTGGATGATGGTCGTGAAGGTCACCAGGTCTTCGGTCACCAGTGAACAACGCCCATTCTTCAGGACATTGCTGTAGATCAGCTCTGGGGTGGAAAAGAGGAAGGCCAGCATCCAGACCACACCGCAGGAGATCTGGCTGATGAGGATGATGCGGGTCCTGTGGCGGTGGGCTGAGACAGCCTGGACGATGGCGAAATAGCGGTCAACGCTAATGCATAGCAACAGGAGCATGCCACTGAAGAAACTCATTTTGTATGTACAATAGACAATTTTGCAGAGGATAGGGCCAAAGATCCAGGACTTGGCAGCGCTGACTGCCCAGAAGGGCAGTGTCAAGAGGAAAAGGATGTCAGCGAGGGCCAAGTTCAACAGGTAGATGTCAGTCATGGTTTTGAGCCTCTTAAAATATATATAGGTCAGCATGACCAGCCCATTGCCCAGCAGTCCCACAAAGCAGATGACTGAGTACATGGTGGGCAGAAACCAGGCTTTGAAATCCCGGACATCTTTTTTGTAGCAGAGGGATTCAAACTGGCTGTAGTCCACCGTGGTGTTTTCATCACTGTAGTCATCGGTGACTCCATCATAGCAAAGGCAGACCTATGGGTGGGATGGGAAGGAGAAAGCAGGGAATAAAGGGAAAACAACATCTGGTTTATTCTGGGGGCTGTAAATAGTGGAAAAGGAAAGAAGTCTACCTAAAGACCCAGGAGTAGGGAATGGGAGCAAGTGATTGAGCTTCCCTTGATTACTCATAGAGTGGAACTCAATTTACACTCGTCTCTAGGTTGTTTTATGAGTGGTTGATTGTCATTTCCTAAGTATGGACGTTTCTGTTCTGTTTTTCTGATTAGACAGAAGCACTCTGAGGACAGGGACCTTGTCTCCTTCATGTTTGATATTCCCCCTAAAGCACGCAATACGTGGCCTTGAACAGTAAGCCTGCTGAATAATTAGGGGGTGATTTCAGGATGCTATATAATAGACTTGAGTCAGGAGATCTGAGTTCAAATCCCAGTTCTGACAGACACCAGGTTACTAGCAGACTAATGGTCACTTTACCTCTCTGAGACTAGTTTCTTCATCTGTAAAAGGGAGATAATAATATCTTCAGTATCTACCTATCTCAAAGTTCCTATTTTGGAGATCAAATAAGATAATAAAAAGCATGTTACCCACCTCAAAGTACCACGTACGTGTTAGCTATTTTTATGCCATGGCAAAGATTTAAATATATAATATAGATCGACAAGGTATTTATTAAGCACTTACTATGTGCCAGGCACTGTGCTATTTATAGTATTTAACATATGCTATATATTTAAATATTTGATGAATGAATGAATGACAGGAGCAACTTGGTGGGAGGTGTGGCTATTATTTCTTCCTTCCCCCTAGCCCCAGCACCTGCTTCTACTGTGCCTGTCAAGGTCCATCTCTGTTTCCCCAAACCAGCTGTCTGTGCCCACAAAAGGAAATAGAGGCCTCTCTCTCTCTCTCTCTCTCTCTCTCTCTCTCTCTCTCTCTCTCTCTCTCTCTCTCTCACAACACACACACACACACACACACACACACACACACACACAGAGACACAGACACAGACATACACACTTATACATTATCTCTCTGTCTGTGTCTCTTACAGACCTTTTCAATCTATAGGACCCAATTCATTCTTTCTTCTTTCTTTTTTTAAGCTCATCTGCCTATCAGGGCAGAGTTCAGGTGGCCTGCAGTGATTTTATTGATGAGGGGGAGGGCATGTATGTGCTACTCAGCAGAGTATTAGAGAGGACTCTGAGGTTGGGGCCCCAGGGAATCCCAGAGAACTAGCAAAAACAGCAATCTAACTTGAATCCCAAGAACCTAGGCCTAAGCTCAGGTTCTAGTTTAAGCTGTTTGTACCTTGCTCAAAAATGTTTGGCTTCCTGAAAGCTGACTTTCTTTTTCATTTTTTCTTTTTACAATGCCTTGTAATCAGTAGACACTTCATAAATGCCTGCTGGCTTAGCTTGGCTTGGACTAGTTGCATTCCTGGCCATAGGCAAGGGGAGGGATGAGATAATGGACCCTTTGTCTGAGTTTTTCTGTTTGGTATTTTGATGATAATAGCTCACTTTTTGCAGAGTACTTTCTCCCTATAGCCCTAAGAGGTGGAGAGTACAAGATGAGGAAACAGTCTCATAAAGGTTAAATAACAGTATCAGAAAATGTGAGAGCTGGAAGACAGCTTAGAGCTAGCTCATCTAGTCCAATCCCCTCATTTATAGATAAATATCTTAAAGAGATGACCTGCCTATGATTGTACAGCTGGGTAGCGTTGGAGGTAGAATATGAACATGGATCTTCTGGCCCACCTATTTGCTACTCTGCCTCCCATTGAAGTCAGCATCCATCCTTTCCTCTAGCCTAGGTCATTCTTAGAGTAGGTATGACCCAAAGTAGGTCTATTATTCAGTTAGAGTGGTATATTCCAGGGACAGAATCTTCAGAAACATCGAGTAGCCCAGACCCCAGCCTCCTCTCTCCCCTCCCCAGATGCCTAGGCACATTCTCTCTGGTCTCCCCAAAGCCTGAGGCTCCGAGCAACCCCTGAATGTTGTATGACCCTCTCAGCTTAGGCCTCCCTTCTGTCCTCTCCCTGCAGAGAGGGCTCCCTGGCCCTCCTCCTCCCTCCCTTCCTCCTTCTCCAGCTCCTCTGCTTATCCTCTCAGGCTCTCCCTGTACACCACTGCTGTAGCCCACAGCCCACCACATCCTGTTCCACCTGAGCCGACTCCCTCATGTAAAAGGGAAATACAAGCCACAACTCCTGTTCCCTCAATCCTCCACCCCCTCCCCCAAGCCCCAACCTTTAAACTCTCACTGCCAGAAATATAGCTGCTGCATAGCCCTCTAGTAAGAGGAAGAATCACAGAACCTCAGAACTTGAAGAGGCTTCAGAAAGAAGCCAGCTAGGCCTACCCTTACCTTCCAAGAACTGGTCACTCAGCCTCTACTTGGAGATCTCTAGAGAGGGGTACCCCATTCCCTCCCAAGGCAGCCCATTCACCTTTGGGAAAATGCTCAGTTTTGTTTTGTTTTTTTCCTTTCCATTGAACAGAAATCTGCCAATCCCGCCCACTATACCTAGTTCCATCCACTGGGGCCAATCTGGACAAAACTAATCCTGCTTCTATCTGACTTCCCAACAAGTTCTTGAAGACAGCTATCGTGTTCATCCTAAGTCTAGGGCACAGACAAGAGAGAGGGAGGCCTCACTCAAAGATGTGGAGCCCAAGTACCAGCAGCCCTCTGGCCTAGGCTTTCAGGAATGGACAATGATTTGAAATTTAATTCTGGACTTTGTTTCTGGAAAGCTGCAGCTCTGGCTACCTGGATATGTGGAGAGTCAAACTTGGGGATTTTTTGTGCTAATTTTGTGTCTTGTTCTGATGTTGGTCAGCCTTTTGTGTCTAACTCACTCACTTCCTCAGGGCCTTCTTGTGAACTACCAGTGTCCACCTACACATTAGACTTGGATTCAATCAGGGATTTTTGACCTAGGGTCCATGGATAGATTTTAAAGGTCAGGTGAGGCTATAAACTTGGATGGGAAAAAAAAATGACATCCTTTTTTGATTTCCTTCAATTATTTAAAAACATTTTTCTAAGAATGAGTCCCTAGGCTTCACCACATTGCCGAAGGAATCCAGACACACAAAAAAAGGTTAAGGCCCCCTAAGTAGATTAGATGACCCCTAAGGTTCCTTTTGTGCTCAATTTTCTGAGCTGAGCTCAGTTTCTTCTTCTGGAATGTAAGCCCCCTGAGGGCAGGCTCTGTTTTGGTTTTTTGTCTTTGAGTCCTCAGCACCCAGCATTGTGCCTGACACATAATAGGTGTCTGACATTTATGTTGGGTTGAATTGAATCTATAAAATGGGAACTAACTAACACTTAAATCGACAGAATTGTTACTAATGTCAGTGTCAAATGTCAGTGATGAAATGATAATAATTCTATCTCCCGCCTTATGTTCGGCACACTAGTTTTGTGGTTCTTTCAGTGATTTTTTTTCTTCTTCTCCCTCCCCCATCTCACCTAGGGTTTGGGTTGATTCTATCTATTTCACGAATGAGAAACTGAGATCTGAGAGATGCACTTTGCAGATGAAAGTTGGGAGGATGATTATGAAGTATGGAAAACTTGAGGTCACTAAGACATGCTTAGATTATCAGACTAAATGTGCTCCCTCCTCCTACCCCTCTCCCCTTGCCCACATGAAGTTTTGTACTCTTAGGCCTTATTTAAGTGTGTGTGCTTGTTTGTGAGTGAAAACAAAAGTTTTGTCCTTGGTGGTGCAGTGGAATGGGGGCTGGGTTTAGAGTCAGAAGGCTTGGGTTCAAATGCTGGCCTTCGAATGCATCACCATGGGCAAGTCACTTACCCTTTCTCTTTGGACCTCCCTTTCCTCATCTGCAAAATGAGATGGGTGGTCCAGATGACCTCTAAGGACCCTTTAAATCCCTGCTCTGATGATCTATGTCTTTTTATACTGATTTTTATGCTGCCCCTCTCTGAAAGTACACAAGGTGTGTCTTTAATTTCAGTCTCTCCAGAGGAGAGAGGATGGTAATACTCTGCTCTTCCCTCATGAAGGAGCTTGAGGAAATATGACCTAGGATTGTATGACTTCCCCAGTTTGGGGAGCAGGGAGGATGAGAGATAGGGGTGCTGTTGTAAAACAGGCTCTATTATTACCCTCTAATCTAAGGCTCTCTCCATCAGACCCCCTACTACTGGCTTGGTGAGGAACTCTTACCTGACAAATAACAAGCAGGGTCACCACCATTACATTCTGCATCCCTTTTCCTACAGAAGATAAAAGACATAACATTAGCAGTTGGACTGGGGTTTTTTTGGTGAATTTGTAGTTAATAAATCACGGTATAGTGTAAAGGTTTTTAACTTCTTTTCTTATGTCATGGACCCCTTCAGCAGCTTGGTGAAGCCTATGGAGGGGTGGACCCATTCCCAAAATGATGTTTTTAAATGCATAAAATAAAATACATAGGCCAAAAGAGGAAACTATATGAAAAAAATAGTTATTTTTTCACATCTAGTTCATGGACCCCTTGAAATCTATCCATGGGGGGAGAGGAAAGGGGAGGGGGCAGGAGGAGGTCCATAGGAGGAGTATTAGACAGTGGAGGCATGGGTTCCAAATCCTGTTCCCTGACACATCTTACTTTGTGTCCCTGGGCAAGTTATTTAATCTCTCTGAGCCTCAACCTTCTCATCTGTAAAAGGACAATAGCTGACATTTATAAAAAGCTTTGGGGTTTGCAAAGGGCTGTGCTGTTCAGACTGCTTATTGGAAGGATGAACAGTGAAGCTTAAATACTTTGGTCACAAAATACGAAGACAGGACTCATGGGAAAAGATCCTGATGCTGGAAAGATTGAAGGTGAATGGAGAAGAGGACAGCAGAGGATGAGATGGATCGAGAGTGTCATAGAAGCAACAAGCATGAGCTTGGACAGACTTCAGAGACAGTGGAGGAGAGAAAGGCTTGGAGTGCCGTGATTCATGGGGTCACAAAGAGGAGGATAAGATGGAGTGAACGATCTACAATGCTGTTCATACATTAACTCGTTTGGGCTTCACGGCAACCCTGTGAGACAGGTACTACAAGAGCAATGGCATTATCCCCATTATGTGCAGTTGTTTTGGTCATGTCCAACTCTTTCTGACCCCTTTTGGGGTTTTCTTAGCAAGAAGACTGGAGTGGTGTGCCATTTCCTTTTCCAGCTCAATTTACAGATGAGGAAACTGAGGCAAACAGGGTGAAGTGACTTGTCCAGGGTCACACAGCTAGTAAGTGTCTGAGACCGGGTTTGAACTCAGGTCTTCCTGACTCTAGGCCTGGCTCTCTACTGTGCTACCTAGCTACCCTATCCCCATTATTCATATAATGAAATCGAGGTTCATAGTGGTTAAATGAACCTGCCCATGGTCCCATGATTAGGAAGTATCTGAGTTGGAATTTGAACCCAGGGCTTCCTGGCTCCAAGTTCAGAACTCCTACTATACCACACTTGCTTCTTAGTATCATTCCCTCCCCTCCCCCTTCCCCACCCAAAGTATTAAGTGTTGTTTTGAGGATCAAGTGAGATCATGCATGGAAAGGGTTTTTGCAAAGCCTGAAGTACTATGTAAATGTCAGCTCTTATTTTTAAGCTCCCCTGTTCCTTATTAAAAAGAGGAGAGAGGAGAAGAGATGCTGGGAACTTTCATCATGGGCACTGCTACTACGCACTGTGTTTGTTAAGACAGAACATCAGAACCAGATTGTGCCTCCAAATGCCTGGCCAGCTGCCCAGCCCACTCCCCTTGCTCTCTCCTTCTCCTCCCCTCCCCAACAGCTGCCTCTATGTCCCAGTCCAGATCCATCTCTTCAAGGGGAGGTACAGGGCCCCTTCCCTACCTCCTGGAGGCTCTTTCGATTCCCCCTTAGAAGTTTCTAATCTGGGGTAGACCCACTTCCAGCTGAGTTAGAACTGACTCTGGCTCCTCTCCTCTCCATCTCCCACAGCCATGAGGCAGGGCTATGAGAGCCAGGGCCAGGCTGAAGTTTTGCTCAAAATAGCCATCCAGGGAGAGTTGTCTTGGGTCCAGGTGTTTCTGCAGAGATCTGATGCCACCAGTCAGGTGCTCTGGGTCTCTACTGAGTGGGGCTGGCCAGCTTGGGAAATAAATTTGTGAATGAAGTTGGGTGGGGTGACTGGGTTCACTTATTTCATTAACCACTTGATGGGGAAGGGGTCCCTCAGTTCCATACCCAGTCAGAAACAATTTCCCCTTTAGCCAGAGTCTTCTCCTCTCATATACCAAAGTGTGTTATTGCCCCCCCCCCAACCCCAGGAGCTGAGAGAAGAGGACTCACATAGAAGGTGATAGAGAAGTAGTGGTAGATTGGGGAAAACCGCAGCTGGACTGGGAGTCAGATGACTTTGGATTTGAATTTGACCCTTGTGCCTTGTACTACTGTGGGCAAGTCCCTCCCCCATTTCTTAAAATAAGGAAGTTGAATTAGATGATCTCTAAGACCCCTTCTAGCTTTAGATTCAAGGTTCCAAGTCCCTAGAAGCCTGGGGGCTGGGGTATTCTTTGATGAGGAGAAGTGGTAGGGAGGAGACCACCAGTGCTCCCAAATTAAATTTTCTTAAAGGCTGTTCAATGGGCTAATACTTTGTGTGTGTGTGTGTGTGTGTGTGTGTGTGCGCGTGCATGTGTGCGCATGTGCACATGCGAACATACGTGCCCTACATGGATTTGTGGGGGGTTAAGAGACATGTTCATGCTGACCATAAAGAAGGTCAGACGCTGCTGGGGGATATCAGGAGACTTCAGACTGGGCTTAACCAGGGTCCTGTGGTACCAGGCAGACGAGGAGACCAGGACCACAGGGTCAGAGCAGTGTCAGAAGATCTTCAGATGGACATAGCAATCCCTCCTGGGCTCTTCTTTAAGGCTTAGGAGTCAGGAAGGGTCCTAGAAACCTTTTTCTCAGAGGTTGGGGAAGATGAGTTTGAATTTAAAGGGCTGCCCACATTAAGAGCTAGCATTTATGTAACACTTTAAAGTTGGCAAAATGCTTTACCAATATTATCTCATTTTATCCTCACAAGCTTTGGGGGTGGGTGCTATTGTTATCTTGCTTTACAGATGAAGAAACTGAGGCAGAAAGTTTTTAAAGTAACTTGCCCAGAGTCACACAGCTAGGAAGTGCTGGGTTTGAACTCAGGTCTTCCTGACTCCAGGTCCAGAGCTCTAACCATTGTGCAACCTAGCTGCTTTTCCATGTTTGACCTTGGGCAAGTCACTTCCCCCTCTGGGCTTCAGTTTTCTTTAAAAAATAAAATAAAATGAAGATGTAGGAGAACATGATCTTCAAGGTCCCTTTCGGTTCCATGTTCCTTTTTGGGGAGGGTGACTTGAACACGGACAGGGCGCTTCTCTCCCTACTTTGAGCTGGAGAAATGTGACCCACTCTTGCACTTCAGAAGCCTTTAAGAATTAGGGCTGTTCACAGGTATTCACTCCCCACCTGCCAACCCTGGGTGCAGTTTCCCTCTGGAGTTGTTTCCTTGTCTACACCGCCACCTACTGGAAATGATTTGACAAGACAACTAAAATTGACGCTGCCCCTGGGGGCAAGGGAAAGGGGTTTTTTGGGCTAGGGGGTGGGGAGTGGGGAAGGTGGTTGTGATTCCCTGGACTGTCCTTGGGGAAAGAAGGAAATGGATCCAAACAACAAAAAGGAGTAGAACTCTCTGTCTCCCTAAATTGGCCATACTGTCTCACCCAAGTCCCCTGGCTATCATGGGTTCCAGGTCCTGGGTTCAAATCCCCCACCTTGCTACTTGCTACCTATGTGACTTTGGGTAGGTAAATCACACATCCACTCTGTGCCTCAGTTTCCTCCTTTGTAAAATGAAGGATGTTGGATTAGATGGCCTCGAAGGTTCCTTCCAGTTTCAAATCTATGATCTTATAACTTTCCCCACCCAAAGTCAAACACTGGCAAATATTAAGGACATCAAGAAAATGAGGGAGAAGCTATTTTGAGTTTCCTTGAGGAAAACTATCACCTACTTCAACTGGTTGGGGAACTGGGCCAAGGTAAGGGGAGTCAGATATAGTTAATCAGTGAGGAGACTCACAGAGGATTGTCTAATCCAGGGATTCTTTACCTTTTTTTTTTGTCATGGACCCCTTTTAAAGGGCAGTCTGGAGGAGTCTATGAACCCCTTCTCAAGATAATGTTTTTGAATGAGAAAAAAGTTTCTTGTTCAGTTGTTTCAGACTCTTCATGACCTTATTTGGGGTTTTCTTGGCAGAGATACAGGAGTGGTTTGCCATTTCCTTCTCTGGCTACAGATGAGGAAACTGAGGCAAATAGGTTCAAGTGACTTGGCCAGGGTCACACAACTAGTTCATGTCTGAGGTCAGATTTGAACTTATCAGTCTTCCTAATTCCAAGCCCAGCGCTCTATCCTCTGCATCACCTAGCTGTCCCATGTGAAAAAATACAGGGATTATAAAGGAAACCAATTCTAATGAAACAATTATCAAAATATTTTTTAAAAGCAAATTTGCAGACCCCAGGTTAAGGCTTCCTAATCATCCAATCCAACCTGACCAAAAATCAGGAGGCTACCCCGGTTCTGTCTGGAAACTCTAGCAATGGGGAACTCATCTGCCAGAGCCATCCATTCCCTGCCTGTTGCATCAGAGGATTTAAGAGCTGGGTTAAAATGTGGAAGAGATTTGGAAGGACCTGAAAAGTTTGTTTCAATAGACATTTATTAAATACCTGTGTCTACAGAGATAAAAGAAGACACAATTCTTGCCTGCAAACAGTTTACAATCACCTAGCAACTTTCATCTAGCAACAATCCATCATTTTTACCACCTTCATAAAGAGGAGGTGTTGTGTAGGGGAAAGAACCTCGGTTTGAATCGTGATTATTATTATTATTATTATTATTATTGGAGGCAATCTGGGTTAAGTGACTTGTCCAAGGTCCCACAGCTAGTGAGTGTCTGAGGCTGGATTTGAGCTCATCCTCCTGACTCCAGGGCAGATGCTCTGTCCAGAATCCTGATTCTTAAAACTTGTTAGTTGTGTGACCTTGGGCAAGTCAAACTGTTTGAGCCTTGTGTTCCTCAGTCTGAAAAATGTGGGCAATTCAACTTGTACTACCCATGTGATTGGGCTGTTGTGATTTATATAGTGTTTATAGAGCATTTGTGCGTCAATAACACTTTGTTAAAGGCAAAGAAACTGAGGGAACTCACAGAGGGAA